TGGCTCGCTTGTGATGATGAAAGGCATAAGGAAGAATAACTTGTATTACTATGAAGGTGATACAGTCGTTGGGACAACAACAGTAGCAGATTCCACCAACAAGGAGTTTGAAGTAGTCAAGTTGTGGCATATGCGGTTGGGACATGCTATTGAAAAATCCTTGCAGACATTGGCGAAACAAAGATTGTTGGAAGATGTCAAAGTGTGCAAATTAGACTTTTGTGAGCATTGTGTTCGGGGAAAGCAAAAGAGAGTGAAGTTTGGAACAGCTATCCATAATACTGAAGGTGTCTTGGATTATGTTCATTCGAATGTTTGGGGACCTTCTAAGACCCCATCATTAGGCGGAAGACGCTATTTTGTCATTTTCATCGATGACTTTTCCCGACGTGTTTAGGTGTACACTATGAAGACGAAGGATGAAGTGTTTGGTGTCTTCATTACATGGAAGACACAAATTGAGAATCAGACTGGAAGGAAGATCAAGGTCCTACGAACGGACAATGGTGGAGAATATACAAGTGATCCCTTTCAAGAAGTTTGCCGAAAAAATGGCATTGTTAGGCACTTCACCGTTAGACGGACACCACAACAAAATGGGGTGGCGGAGCGCATGAATCGAACATTGGTGGGAAAGTTCGATGTATGTTGTCCAATGCTGGTTTGGGTAAGGAGTACTGGGCTGAGGCTGTAACATACGCGCAACACCTCATAAATCGATTGTCGTCATCTGCAAAAGATGGTAAAACACCGTTGGAAGTATGGTCGGGGAAACCTGTTGCTGACTATGGATCTTTACGTGTCTTTGGGTGTCCTACGTACTGTCATGTGAAGGATTCAAAGTTAGATCCAAGAGCGAGAAAGGCTTTGTTCATGGGAATCACAATTGGCGTGAAGGGATATCGTCTTTTGTGTCTTGAAACGAACAAAACTGTGTTCAGCAGGGATGTTACATTTGATGAACAAGGTATGATAAAGACGACACAAATCCAGCAGGTGGAGTTGACACCAAAGCAGGTGGAGTTAGATGCGATGACGAGACGACCAGCTATGATTGACGAACCAATATCAAAGGATTCGTTGGATGATGAAGTACAGACTCAAGAATCATTAGAGTTATCCATTGCATTGAAGAAAGCCCAGACGAGAGATTCAACGACCTGCTCGATTGACGGATATGGTGGCTTATGCACTTCCAATTGTTGATGATGACATACCTTTCACTTTTCAAGATGCAATTCGGAGTTTAGAAAATGAGAAGTGAAAAAGGGCGATTGAGGAAGAAATGTTGTCTCTCCAGAAGAATCAAACTTGGAAGGTGACGCAACTACCAAAAGGTAAGAGGGCGATAGGATGCAAGTGGGTATTTGCAAAGAAAGATGAATTTCCTCAGAAGAATGATGTGCGCTGCAAGGCAAGATTGGTGGCTAAAGGCTACGCTCAGAAGGAAGAAGTTGATTATAATGATATGTTTTCTCCAGTTGTTAAGCACTCTTTCATTAGAATTTTGTTGGCCTTAGCAGCACAGTTGAATTTGGAGCTAGCTCAACTTGACGTGAAGAAGACATTCTTACACGGAGATTTAGATGAGGAAATCTACATGACTCAGCCAGAAGGATTCAAAATTCTTGGAAAAGAAAATTGGGTCTGTAAGTTGAACAAATCGTTGTACGGACTGAAGCAATCTCCTAGACAGTGGTACAAACGGTTTGATAAGTTTATGATTGGACAGAAGTAAACACGAAGTAGACACGATCATTGTGTGTATCTACGCAAGCTGCAAGATGGATCTTTCATTTACTTACTCTTGTATATGGATGATATGTTGGTTGCATCAAAGAGCCAAGTGGAGATTGATACTTTGAAGGCTCAGTTGAATCAAGAGTTTGAGATGAAAGACTTAGGGGAAGCTAAGAAAATTCTCGGGATGGAGATAAGTAGGGACAGAAGGAGAGGCAAGCTTTGTTTGATTCAGAAGCAATATCTGAATAAGGTACTACAGCGTTTCGGCATAAAAGATGAGACGAAGCCTGTAAGTACACCACTTGCCCCTCATATTAAGTTAAGTGCCCAATTATCGCCAAATTGTGATGAAGAACGAGAATACATGGATAGAGTCCCATATGCAAATGCAGTTGGTAGGTTGATGTATGCGATGATGTGTATAAGGCCCGACATTTAACAAGCAGTTGGTGTTGTTAGCAGATATATGCATGACCCTGGTAAAGGTCATTGGCAAGCTGTGAAATGGATTCTACGGTACATCCATAGTACTGTAGACGTTGGATTAGTTTATGAGCAGGATGAATTTGGTCAATGTGTGGTTGGATATTGTGATTCTGACTACGCGGGCGATTTGGATAAGCGAAGATCAACGATTGGATATTTATTCACTTTTGAGAAAGCTCTAGTCAGTTAGAAGTCTACCTTACAGTCAACAGTTGCTTTGTCTACAACAGAGGCAGAGTATATGGCGGTTACTGAAGCTGTGAAGAAGGCTAATTGGCTTCAAAGTTTGCTTGAAGACTTGGGAGTTGGTCAATAGCACGTCTTAGTGCATTGTGACAGTCAGAGCGCTATTCACTTAGCGAAAAATCAAGTATTTCATGCAAGAACGAAGCATATTGATGTTCGCTATCATTTTGTGCGGGAGATTCTAGAAGATGGAACCGTTGTATTGAAGAAGATCAAGACGATGGAGAATCCTGCAGATATGATGACCAAGGTAGTGACAGCAGTCAAGTTTGAATATTGTTTAGACTTGACCAACATTCTGCATATTTGAGTTGGCGCCGAGAGGCGCATTTGGAGGCACCGCCGGCAGCTGATTTGGACTGAAGAGTCGAAGTGGGAGCAAAATTAGTCAAGGTGGAAAATTGTTAGTTTTTGAATAATTTGTTGTCCCACATGGGATGTATACCAAAGATGTGTAGGATCTTATTAGTATAAATATGTCACTTGCCTTTGGGTTACAATTGCACCTTATTCTATTCTCTCATCTCTTGGTAGGAAATCTTTATTTAAGGAAATCCTAATTTGTGGGTTATTTAACCCTAGTTGTATTTTGTTGGTGAGTTTAATAAATTTGGTGTTGCAGTTGGCGGTGCCCGGAGACGTAGGTTATTTTCGCCAAACTCCGTTATCAATTTTTGTGTCCTTTTTATTTCTTGTTTTTTATTTATTTGTGTTGGCTTATTAGAGCTTGCCATATTTGTTGAAGGGGTAGTTTTGTCCGCTGCGTTTGATGTTCTACCTCAACATACATGACAAACCAATGAATTGAAGTACTGTATGTTTCAGTTCTTACAGCTTGAACTAAAATGTTTTGCTTCTTAGAGTTTGAACTAAAAAAAACTACAATTTGAAAGAGGAAAGACAAAACTAAGGCGAGTGTTGCTCTTTTGGCAAGACGAATACGTCCCGTAATGTGTTGACGGTTTAGTCGTCTCGTTCCTGAAGATACAACAGCTAAAGTCTCCAAAGTTGTAGCTCAACAGACTTTCGAGCTCCGATGAACTTGAACGGATCGAGTCGAGAACTAAGTAGTGTATGTTATGATGCTTCATATTTTTCTGGAAATTAAGAATGCAGATGATGTTGTGTATCTTCCTGCAACTCTAGACAAGTCCTATTTATAGGACTTATAGCCAAGGTAGAAAATGACACGAGTCACATGCCTCTTAAGACAGGTAACAATCCACTTATGACTGTTATGATGGGAAGATAAACGGCCAGACTTTTTTTGGGTGTTAACACACTACTACTTAATGTGAAATAGTCAGATGGAGTCAACAAGCCCAAGGTCAAGCCCATCTTAAAGCACGAATCTTCTAAGGCCGCCCTAGTCCAGCCCACAGTCCAATTGTCAAGGACCAAGGCCAAGGCCTGTGCCCATGCTCGAGCCTGAGCCTAAGCCTTCTGGCGCCCGCATGTGACCAAAGTCATCACAACAATTGGTGTACAACTTTGTTGTTGTGACATCTCAAACTCTCTTTATTATAATAATAATAAAAGAAAATTAATCTCATTTAAAGGTCCAATGTGGTAAAAGACTCTTGACCTTCGAATCTCACAACTAACATTTTACATGCACATTAAAAGCTCACTTTAATAATTTATCTCTCGCTCACGGAAAATCAGTTTTGATAAAATAAATATATCACGAGTATCTACACGAAACGTCATATTTTTATAAATATTTTAATTCAACCCGAATTGAATATTCAATCATAAAAAAATTAGTCAAATCCACATCAAACACGATTTGTTCATAACTGACCTAACATCTAGTTCATTCTCGAATCTTCTGACTCATCGATTTAGAAACCAAAACTTCTAAAATTGAGTTTCACAAACGAAATTTGAATGCAAATAGTGAACCCAATTTGGAGAGTTTAGTTTCATTTAGTGAATCGATATTAATCATCTATCAACTAGAAGAAGATAATCCAAAGTCCAAGTTAAATCCAAAACTTCGCGGCTAATTGTTTGGCAACTCTAGCACATCAATGTCTTAGTGGTTGCCAACGTTTCTTAGATCCACCATCGATAGTTAAATTGTGGATACAACATGACCTCATTGTCGTCGCTTACCTGCGGAACATAACTACCTGAGGATCCTACGCTGCCTCCTCTCGTTGTACCAAAATNTATAGACCAAAACTAGGAAAAAAACTTCCAAACCTTCAAAGTTAAAACAAACACACATAACAAAAAAAACAAAATTTATATGTATATATGATATTCATATATTAGTAATGACAAAATGCAAAATAATTACCAAACTCTTTATTATGAAAGATACATTCAAATATATTTTCCCCCTCCACATTATACCTATATTTTTTATTTTTTTGTACCCCACTTTCAAAACCACACCAAAACTCGTACCCCACAAATTTCCTCCAATCATTCATCAAGTTTAGAAATAAAAAATATTAATTAGCGAGGCACTGAAATCAAAAATAAAACCGAGTGTAATTCCCACTATCACCACGAAGTTACCCATAAAACCCGGTTTGGCTCCAGACAGCATCCCGAACCCGACTCATGTCCCGCCCTTTGAGCGTCCGGCCCACGCCCTCGAACACCGAGTTGGCCGCCATTTTCCTTCTACGCGCCAGGTACTCGTGTGGTGGCACGATCTCCGAGTCGTCATTCAGCCCGTCGTCCGAGTCGTGCAGCGACTCGACCGAGTCGACCCGGTATATCTTTGACCAGTCGGGCACGTTCACCGGCGCCGACGTCGCCATGTGCCACCCGCGCGGCGAGTCCGCCGTCCCTTCAGGCGCCCGGAACTGGTGCACGATCATCGGCAGCGACCCCTTGTCGCCGGAGTCGTCGAAGGCCAGAGAGAGCCCCCCTGCCTGGCGGCGACGCCGGCGGTCGGGTGCCGCCGCAGGCGGGCGGCCCATGCCGTACCCGACGAAGCCCCCGCCGCCATCCGCGGAGGCGCGTGAACTCCACTCTCTAGCGGGGGAGTGGGTGTCGCCGCCGACCGACGCCGCGTCGATCATCGACCACACCTCGTCCTCGCCGAGATCCGGAGAGCCGTCACCGGCGACGGCACGTTGCTCCGGACCCCGACCAAAGCTGCCCAGAAAGCGCTCGTTCCGGCTGGTGGTTAATTTCCTACCTTTGGCCATTGGATTTCAAAAATTCAAATCGAGATGGAAACTCCTGAAAATTTACCGGCAGGCCGATCGCCGGGAAATTGTTTTTTCCCCAGAGTAAATAAGAAAAAATCAGTTCTTTAGCTCCGACGTGGATCACCGGAATCTTATTCTCCGACGATCGGAAAAAACAAAAATAAGGTTACAAAATAATGAAGATGGTAATAATAATATGAATATGTGCAAAGTAATTGCTGTGTGTGTATATATAGAAAGAGACTCAACTGCGGATGCTTGGGCGTGTATATATAACATTGGATTGGGAACGAAGGGGTGGTGTGGGTCCCACCGGTATTTCATTTGAATTTGGGTTTCATTTTGTCTGCATTTAATCAATGTCATAAAACGACAAGGCATGCACGGTGAGAGAACCTTTAGAAAGAGACGAGCACACTGTAAAATCAAAACAACTATTTCATCCCACTCGTGGTGATTGATCTCAACGCTACTCTAAAAGCGCGTGAACGCACGTGCGCGTTGATAGAATTGTTTCGTGATTTTGAGGGTGTGATGAATATGAATTTGTTTTGACTTTTATTTGTTTTTTCTTTAATCATAATTAATTTTTAAAAAAAAATGGTATGAGTATTTGTTAGTGAAATTTGATTGTATATTAAAATAATATTAAAAATAAAATAATTAAAATTAATTTGATCTGAAAATATGAGAGGGATGATATGAAATGATGGTTAATTAAAATTCTGTGAGTAGATGAATAATTAATTAAAGTTGATATGATATTTAATAATGATTATTTGATATTATTTAATTATATTGATAATACTGAAAATAGAGAAGTTAAACTAAATTTTAATTTTGATTAGTTTTTTTTTTAATGAGTTGATATTCAATCACACATTCACAGTATAAATTTGTAAGTGAAAAAAGGTTTAAACAAAATAGACATATGTGATTGGTGATAAATATAGGAGTTGTATTTAAGTCAGCGAGTGTAGTTTGACTCAACTCATTAAGCCTAAAAAAAATGAAGAGACTCGTTTGATAAATAATTTGAATTCAAGTTCGTGTAAAACTCATTTTTGTTAGTTTTAGCTCAGTTTGACTCACTAAGGCTTGAAATATAATATTTTATATAATTTATTAAATTTAACCAAAACTTAGTTCGATAAATCTCATGTTCGACTCGTTAGAGTTCGAGTTCATTTCGTTAGCATTAATAAATAATTTGAGCTCAAGCGTGTCGACTGGATCCACTTGACTAGATAAATACTCGAATTTGAGTATCAGAATAATTTAAGCTCAACTCTTTTATATCTAATGATAACACAATGGAAAGAATGGATAAATTGTTGATTATTAATTAAGTTATTCACAATAATGGATAAAGTATTATTATTATTATACAAGTCACAACTTACTATTTTTCATTTAAAATGGAAAATTAATGTGATTGATCATTACAAAATCCACAGAAGACGATATTAAAGAAACCAAAATGATCATATTTTTTGTTCCATGATGTATTGCTCATCATATTTTTCAATACTTTGGATGTGTAATTATGTGCATTTGAATGTTTGCCAAATTCATATTATATTTTGTATATACTAGTGGCCCGGAATAAACTGAATACACTGATAAATTACATATATAATAAGAAAACTTTTAAATAATTATACCATCAGCTAAATATATGATACGAACCATGAATTCACTTGATCTGAAGATCTGCAAATGCAATAAGTCAATCTGTGATTTTATTGTAAGGTATCACCACAAAATTAAAAGCTTGTTTGACATTTAAAAATCAATGATTATATGAATTGAATTAATCTCACGATTTGCAGTTAGTGGAGTTTAGTTTTAGTGTATGGTTGAAATGGGGTTAAGGTCTACGGGTGGCGCTATTGGTAATTATAATAAGGTTTATGTTTTAAAAGTTGTAGCTTTTGACTTTTGACTTTAGGTGTATTGAGTTACTGTCAATTTTTTGGAACCACAAATGCAACTAATTATAATATTATTATTATTATTATTATTATTATTATTATTATTATTATTATTATTATTATTATTATTATCAATATGACTACAATTAGACGAACATGTTTTTTTGGAATATTTTTGTATTTTTCATAAAGAATGTTAAATTTCAAAAACATTCGTTAAATATAAAATATATATTTCACAATATAATTATCCAATTTTGTTCAGAAAGTATGACGACTTGACGCACATAACCATTATGGGCAATACTAGAACTCCTACCGTAATTTCAATGGATATTTCAATGTTATTGAAAAAATTCCAACAATAACATTTTTAACTGTTTGAATTATTGATGAGAAAAATAATTTCAATGAAAATTGCACATTCCAATAAAAATTTCTACAACGATAAATCTATCATTATATAAAAAGAATAACCTTTTTATAAATTTGAAAACTTTTTCCCGCTAAAATCATTAAATATATCTTGCATATAGTAATTGTTTGACAAATCTGAATAGGCAAAAAAATCGGCTCATTAATTGTGTAAAGATTTATTTTTCTTTTTTCCTGTTTTTTAGTTTATCAAAACCGTTATTTGACAATAAATATTTGTTTTTCTTTTTTCCTATTTTTAGTATAAATCTACACGAGCTTTTACAAATCCCATTGCATACGTGTTTAAAAAATCTTATCTCTTATCTATACAAATTTAAAAAACTAAAATAAAATAGAAACCAATTCTTAATTACTACTAGAAATCCATTATCTTTAAAAAGAAAAAGTAAAATAAAATAGAAACCAATTCATAATTACTACTAGAAATCTATTATCTACTTTAAGAAGCTAATTTTCATCGGTCTAATTACTAACATTTTTACAAATATTATAAGCTAACCATACAAAAAAGTATAACAATAATTGTAATCAAATTTTTTTATATTCTCTTATACAAAATAATTTCATATTGTTTGACCCTGAATCTTTATTTATAATTATTAAGTATTGTTTATCCTCCTCTTTAATTTATAATTATTTTTTTTCTTCCTCTTTTTAAATAAGATCAATAGTAATTTCCACTTCTGCCATTGAGTGACTCAAACTCGAGGTCTATTTATAATATTGGTCCCGTGCATCGCACGGGGTACACACTAGTAATTTGGAAAAGTGTTGTTGAAATTGTCAAATTTCAAATATAATTTTCAGGGATATTTTATTTCAAATGAAGATTTTTGTGTTGATATCTTTTGAACACCTATTAAAATTTTCCAACAAATGTTTTAATATTGAATTCTCCATAAAAAAATATATTCAAGGATTTTCATTTAAATTCTCATTTTTAACTTACCCATCCCTGTTTCATGATCGATTCTTGAGTTGAATATAATATTAGTCATACTTATTTCAACAAGTGTCGTTATAATGATGACATGTCACAATTTTTATCAATGCATCTAATTAAACAAACAAAACTGCATGATTGTATATTTGGTCCTACCACTATGCGTCGACAACCTTCCAACTGGCCCTATCAGAATTTGCCACATGGACTACAAATTAAGAAAATGTTGGTCTACTTCACACGTCACCACTCACTATCCGAGCCAATTTGGTCAGCAGTTTGGAAAATTGGGAATCCATTTTGATTTATAGAAATGAAAATCCACTCCTAAAATAAATAAATAAATAATGTTAATTATTATTAATTACCATAGCATTTGTTTTTTTTATTTTTAATTCTTTTTGTTTCTCCTCGTTGCACATAAAGAAGTTAAATGCAACGAGCCTATGTAAGCTCAGTTCTATCGAGATCAAATTCATTTAGTTAACAAACCAACTTTAGCTCTACTCGATTTATTTAAACCTCCAGTGCATGTTTGCTTGGTGGGATTATGTAGGATATCCCGCTTAATCTAGACATAATCCTGCGTTTGGTTCATGGGACTAAAGCCCGCAAGAATCCCATCGACCCGGTATAAAAATGACTTAATCCCTTATACGTGGGATAAACTAATCTCAGAAAATAGGTGGGATTATTCCTATCCTGTTGTAGTATATTTCTATTTTACCCCAATTTTAATAATTTTTGGACTGTTTTTGATTTATTTGAAATGAGTAAAATAGTATTTTACACCACCTACACATTTTTTTTTTTTAATTTAAAGTTATCCTATCCCTTTATCATATATAACAAACACAGGAATAGTCCAATTCCAACAGTACAATCCTTCCCCGTTGGACTAAATTAGTCCAATCCCATTCTGAAAAGCAAACAAGGACCTAATGACAAGTATCACACACATATATAATAACTATATTATATATAATGATGTCCATTTGGTTTGATTGAAAACATAATGTCCTTATTTTAAATAGAAAATTAAAGCTTATCTTATTGAAAGTGTAATCCCATTATGCACAAGCATTGCTTCAATTAATTGGGACACTGACTAGGAATCATTAAGGCAAACCCTCATAAATTCTTAATAATGTATTTAGGAGCTTCATGAATGATTATAATTAATGGGTTCATTTTTTTCCCCTAGACCCATAACCCATTAAATATGACTCAATAATTATAAATTAATTTATTCCTCCTAATAACATGTTACCAAACAAGCATATATGCCTTGAATTACTTTTCTTTTTACAAAATAAATATCCATACAATTTCTCAATGTTCTTAGATTCTATGTTTTTGCTAATTGCAAATTTTGTCAGACATTTGAAAAAATATATAAATTATATTTTAAGATATGAGAAAAAATTTACACCAAAGAAAGATGCATTAACATAAAGTGGAGTCTTTGCACAGCCACATTAGATGGATGAGAACAAATTGGTGGGCCATAATTTTTTACTTGTCGTATGTCAAATAAACTAAAAAAAAATCTTATCATGATTTTTCTATATTAGATTTTATAATTTTTGTTTATTTCAAGAAAATTTACTAACAAATACATAGGCATAGTTAGAAATAAAAATAAACGATCCAAATAATTGCTTAATAAACTAATTCAACAA